GCAACTTTGTCACCATTAATAGCGAGCAGTTAGACAACGCCAGCAGGCATAAAGCAATCAAAGAAACTGAGAAACCGCTTGAAACTGTATTCAAACAAAACAAACGATAGTTTTAGCAAACTAGTGGCCAGTGAGGCAACTTTGTCACCATTAATAGCGAGCAGAAAGCAATTAAAGTTGTAGCAAACTAGCGGCGAGCTAGCCACGAAAGAGTGCACTCGTCATTGGCCACTGAACCAACTTTGTCACCCCACAAACAAGCTGAAAACAATCGAAGCAACTGAGATTCAACTTAACTTAAGCTTGAGTTAAATTCAAAGGAAACCTAACGCGGCGGAAGTGCATTGGAGAGCGAGCAAGCTGCAATAATCAACTGTCAGCTCGATCAATTCTTTCGACTGTTATTAATATCAAGCGTATCACGAATTTTTGAAGCACAGACTTTTTGCCCACTAAAATACAAGGTACACCTAGAGCAATAAACCGCACAAAAGTTTGAAAATGATGTGGCTATTGTTTATGTTGCTACTCTTTTCCCAATCGTACTGCCCACAATAATCTGTTAGAATTGGGGAGTGTGTGCCCAAAATGCAGCATGATCTATTTCAGATTTAGGGGGAGATACTTGTCAAGGCGAATAGCTTATCCTTCTAATGGTAGTTTTAATCCCTTCGTTATTTCAAACAAGGAGGCACACATTGTGAATGGGAACATAAATTCAGAAGTGTTGGAAGAAAAACGCAATGCAATATGTAATAGCACTGATAGTAATTCTACATACATGTGTGAAGGATCAAATGTAAGAGATCACTTTCGTAATTATTGTTTGACCAACGTAGGGAAGTTTTCTTGTGCAGTTGATTGCTTTCTTGAGCTATGTTATTTTGTTTTTCGCAATCATCTTCAAAACATTACATGCAATGATTTTTTTCAAGTTATCTCTGAGGCGTGCAATCAAAGGGCAATTGTTGGTGCTGTTGATGTTGTGCGAGAGCCTATATGGTCACTGATCAGAGGTCGTTGCCCATCATTTTCTTCAATGACTGCAAATGCTGTTTTTAGTGACATATTTACCATGCAAGCATTTGGGGATTTAACCAGTGATTTGAAATCATTATTTCTTATTCAACAATGTAATCAGACTTGCTGCACCCTGTGTAACAATCAAATATTGAAAACTACTAGCACTATTGTCTTGTATATTACTTGTCCAAATATTCTGCCCACTGAATTTGAAAACTGTGTTTCAGAAGCTGCTTTGCCTAATAGCAGCCCACTTTTTTGTGATGCATGTCAAAGGCATTCTGGTGATATTTCAGGTTTGCAACATTTTGTTACCATGCCAAAATTTTTACACATTGAATTATCATCAATTTCTTTTGGTCAAACTGTTCTACCAGCAAGTATGGAACTCTTAGGTACATTTTACTTATTAAAAGCTGTTGTGCGGTGTGCAAGCCACCATTTCACTATTGCTATAAACAATGGTCGTTATTGTTTTTTATTATGATGATCTCTGTAGTGCAGTTCAGCAATATGCTACATTTCAAGATATTTTGAATGTTTACGCCAATGGATGGTATTTTGCTGTTTATGAAAGCTCTGTTGATAACATTATTAATATACATCAAGGCATTGATTCCTGTACATTAATGCCAGACCATTCTTATTCAAAATTAGAGGATAAAGAACGCCAAGCCTGTGATGATTTTGGGAAAGAAGTTTGCACACCCAGAAAACGACAAAGACCAGAAACAAATACTGACAAATTGATAGATAGAAAAAGAAAGCTGAACTTAAATGTAGTAAATCCACATTTGAAGAATTACAAAATTGCTAAAAAAGCCAAAGAGACAGAGAGTGAAAAACTTTCTAGACAAAAAAAAAAAAAAAAAGAATATATGAGGGCATACAGAAGGAAAATAAAGGATTATGAGACAGGGAGGAGAAGCAAGCACGATTGATAAAACAAAATGTGCAAAAGTGGAACTCTAGACAGAAAAAAAGGAAGACAATACATTTGATGTAATTAAACCAGTAGGAAAATTTACAGCTAAAAAAGCCAAAGAGACAGAGAGTGAAAAACTTTCTAGACAAAAAAAAACCAAAAAAAGAATATATGAGGGCATACAGAAGGAAAATAAAGGATTATGAGACAGGGGAGGAAAAGCAAGCACAATTGATAAAACAAACTGTGCAATTTAAGTGGAACTCTAGACAGAAAAAGGAAGACAATACATTTGATGTAATTAAACCAGTAGGAAAATTTACAGCATGGCAAAAAGTAGATAAACCACTGCATAATGTTGACAAAGAAGCATATTTATCTCAATTTGACAGTATAAACACTGGACCAATTCATGTACAGAAGTGGGCTATCAAAAACATGGAAGACTTTCATAATTCACTTAAATTCAAAATTTATATGTGTGAAGTTTGCCATGAGGCATGGCCATTATCATCAAAAAGGCAAAAAGAGATCTCCTTATATGTGTTCAAGATGTTCACGTGACAAGAATGGAGTGAAAAAAATTTTCATCTCAGAATGGAATGATTCCTTCACAAGTCCCAAATGAATTGCAAGGTTTAACGCAATTAGAGGAAATGTTAATAGCTCGTGTTTTCCCAGTAATTTCTGTTTATACAAAACCAGGTGGACAAAAAAGCATATAAAGGTCATTGTATTAACTTCTCTCAAGATATCCAAGAGTTAGCCAATTCATTGCCAAGAAACCTAAGTGAAATGCCAGTAATAGTTGTGTCAGTCAAAGGCAAAGATAATACTTATAAAGATCTCACTGTGAGACGTGAAAAGGTCAGCTGTGCTCTGCACTGGTTAGTTCAACATAACCCTGTATATAAGGATATCACTATTGATTATGAATTGTTGGCTTTCTTGCCTTCTGATGGCATTCCCACTGAGCTGCGTAAAATTTATTGTACTGAGAACAGTAAAGATGATGAAATTGATCCAGACAGAGGTCCTCTTGATGAAATACCTTTCAATGAAGACACAGAATTGAGTAGCACAATTCTTAACCCTGTACAACTAAAGCCACAGAAGCAGCTGATAAAAGATGAGTTATTACAAAACAGTAAAATCAATTGGCCTAATAGGAATTCAAGTCCTCTCAATGAGTTTAAAATTGAATATTTAGCTACTATGGCATTTCCTACTTTGTTCCCAGATGGTAAAGGAGATCCTACTAACAGTGCTACAATGCGTGATGTGACCCTTGGAGATAAAATAAAACATTTGATTAAATTTGCTGAATATAATAATGGTAAATGGGCTTATAGGTTTGCAAGTCACCCACGGTTTGCTTATTGGGCATTCAACATGATTCAGAGGCACAGACTCCTTAGTCAGGGAAATATTTTTTTTTAAAGCAAAACCCTGGTGAAGCTAAGTTAACTGTAGAACAACTTCAACAAATGCTTCAAACAAATACGTATTCTACTTTAATGTCAAAACTTATGCATTATGCTAAAAATGTTACTGGTAGCAATAGCTATTGGCACAAAGCTAAAGAGGATTTGCGAGCAACCATTGCTCAAGTAGGACCGCCTACTATATTTTTTTACTTTATCTTGTGCTGAGTACCATTGGCCTGAATTTCATGAACTCTTTTGTGACCCTCACTCTGAAACACTTCAACCAGCAATCAGGCAGCAAAATGTTCTTCAAAATCCACATATCTTGGATTGGTTTTTTACTGAGCGAACAGATCGTTTTGTCAAGTTTTGGTTAAAAAGAGTCATTAGGGGCTTCTTGGCATTGGTACAGATCTGAGTATGCAGTTCAGAGAGGTTCAATTCATTGTCATGGAGTTGCAAAATTGAAAAATGATCCAGGACTTTGCGAACTGACAGAAATTGCATTGCAAGGTTTTTTAGCATCAAAGCATATCAATGAGAACAAAGGAAATTTGTCAGAAGAAGAAATATTAGAACTGGAGACTAAGATAAATCAAGGTATACAAGCAGAGTCTGTTGTTTGTCAGTATGTTGACTTTATACTAACAACTTGGAATCCATGTTCCCCAGAAGAAGGGTGGTCCAAACCAGATTCTCATCCATGTCAAACCCAGTATCTGTCTTTGAATGGCAAACAAAAAAGAGGAAGACTATGTGAATTTATTAAACTCTGTTGAGAGACATACAATGTGCAGTACTAAGTATTGTCTAAGGAAACTAGCAAAAAATGAATTAGCCTGTAGATTCAAATTTCCTTTTGAAAATTGCCCAAAGACAAGAATAGATTTTGAACCAATAAACACTAAATCAGGCCAAACCAAGTATAGAGCAACCATTGTTACTAAGCCAAATGATTCAAGATTAAATCGTCACCAACCACTGCAGCTCCAAGGATGGAGGGCAAATTGTGATATTCAAATTATTATAGATTATGTGGCATGTTTGGAATATCTTGTGAAATACACATCAAAAGGAGAAAAAGCTTCTTCAGTTCTAAATAATGCATTCACCAATGTAATTAGTAAAGCATCGGACGAAAGTGACATTCATAACATTTTGAAGCAAATTATGATCAAAAGTGTCGGACAACGAGATTATTCAATCCAAGAAGTTATGCATCATTTACTCTCACTCAAATGTGTAAGTGCAACACATGAAGTAATAAATACATCTCTTGATGGTTCACGAAGAGTACAGGTGTCCAAAAATAAGGATTTTTGTACAATCCCATCCATGTTGGATATTTATGCTGAACGAGAGAAGTTTATTAAGACATTTCCAGACATACTGACATATAATTTTTGCAATTTACCTCCACATTTGTAAGCAAAAACTCAAAACTGGAGAAAAGGAAGCAAGCTGTAATAGTTAAAACTTATCCCAAATTTTCTTCAAATCCTCAAAATCAGCAGTATGGGCTGTTCTGTAAATATCAACTGCTAAAATATAAACCTTGGCAACATGTAGCAGACAATGCATGGGACAATCTTGAACAGTGTGATGAAACTTATAAAGCATGTTGGATGAACTTTTTGTGTAGTGATTGTGGGAAGAACAGTGTTCCTGACTGGGAATTGCAATTGAGCAGCTTAAAAGCAGCCATTAATCTGGAAAATGAAAATGAAAACATGGAAATTATAGAGGAAGAAAAGGAAGAGTGGATGTTTATGTCAGAACTGAATTTACAGGAGTTGAGCACAGATACTGAATATAACTCGACGTTAGCTCCTGAAGGATATTGGCACAATGTTAGTGAACATTTTGACGATGTTGATCTACTTTCTGTTACTTCTTGGTTAAATACTCAGAAAAATAAAAATGAACCAAGTTGGCACATATCATCAAGAGTAATAGATATTTCAAGTTTTAGTAGCGATCAATTGTTGGCATACCATATCATTCTAAATCACTTCAACAGCAGTAATGAACTGCCTTTGCATCTACTTGTTAAAGGAATTGCAGGTTCAGGAAAAGCTATGTTATTGATGCTGTAAGAAATGTTCTTAAGGAAAAATGTCAAGTACTAGCATATACTGGAAAGGCCTCTTTTAATGTCAAGGGTGTAACACTGCATTCTTTCCTCAAACTACCAATTGGTTCAAAAAGACTCTTGAATTGAAAGGAATAGCTTTGCAACAACTTCAAACTAATTTACAAAACATTCAGTATTTGATTATAGACGAATATTCATTTGTTGGCCAGAGCTTATTTGGGTGGATAGATTGTAGATGCAGGCAAGCTACAGGTTTAGCTGATCAAGCTTTTGGTGGTCTTTCTGTTATTCTGGTCGGTGATATAGCACAGTTATCCCCAGTTGGTGATAAACCACTTTTCCATTCTTTGCCAAAATCAGAAAAACAGATTCAGGGTCACCTCATATATAAAGAGTTCAAACAAGTCGTCACATTGTCAGTGAATCATAGAGTTGATGGCAAAACTAATGCCCACAGCTGCTTTAGAGATCTCCTCATTAGAGCACGAAATGGAGAATCCACTTTGGCAGATTGGCAGACATTGTTATCTAGAACTCCTGAAAATGTAACAAATATTGAAGAATTCCTAACATCATCTGTAAGGCTATCCTATCTGAAGGCAAAAGTTGCAGAAATGAACTTGATCAAATTAAAAAATCTAAACCAGCCAATAGCAACAATCAAAGCCCGTCATTCTGGTGGTGCTCAAACACTTAGCTCTGATGAAATGGGAGGATTAGAACCTGTCATATATTTAGCTAAAGGTGCTAGAGTTATGCTCACTATGAACATGTGGACAGAAGTTGGTCTTTGTAATGGTGCACTAGGAACTGTATTAGATTTTGTATATGCTGATGGGCAAACTCCTCCAGCCCTGCCTATTTGTGTTCTTGTACAGTTTGATGAACAATATAATGGACTTTCTTTAACTGCAAGTGTTCCAAGATGCGTTCCAATTTGTCCAATAACCCAAATTTCACAAAACATAGGTCACACATGTGAAAGACAACAACTTCCTTTAAAGCTAGCATGGGCTATGACTATTCACAAAAGCCAAGGTCTGACTCTTAAAAAGCATGGATAGATCTCGCCCTTCAGAGAATTCACCTGGTATGACATATGTGGCTCTTAGTAGAGTAAAAAGACTCCAAGATCTCATAATTGAGCCAATGACATTTGAAAGGTTGCAAGCTTACAAAAAATCAAATTTTTGAAATATAGGTTAATTGAAGAAAAGAGACTTGATTCTTTATCTCTAAATGCTTCTAAAAATGGTCATCATGAGTAACTTTGACTTAATACAGTAAGCATGTTCTCCAAAAGCTAAACAAGACATCCAAATACCAATTATTGTGTTCCCCTGTTTTTCTTTGTTTGACTTGATTTAATTATTGTCTTTGAAAAGCCTCTGGAGGAAAGTCAATAAAATATGTATCTATGTGTGATGTATTTTTAATTTGTAAAACATTTTTTGTTGCAGACGATGGCAAGCAAAAGGACTTATTGTAAGTACTGAATATAATTATTTTATCTTATAAATACAGAATTCATGCCCCTTTAAGTAGTCTAAGACTAAACAGGGACAACTGGTGTCCCTGTTATTTTGCAGCAACTCAGCCCCTAGCACCTGACTACTGTATCTGTGAAAGGTAGAGGCAATTTTGTTCTTGGTTATTGTTGTTCACTCATAATAATGAGTACATGCTGACTCCTTTATATTTCAAGCTTTACCTGCAATGTGTCATTTTCTTGAAATATCCAACCCCCCAAATTATTTGACATTACCATGCCAATCAAACATAATTCTCTTATGCATATTCTAACCATCTTAATTGTTTACTTGCAGCAAACGACCATGGGTTTATTCACAACCTCAGTCCAATTAAGAAGTCCCTTAAGTCAAAGCATCAGTGGTATGAATTTCAGCTTCAAACTTCACCCACTAAAGTGAAACGTTTGGTAGGATTTAATCTCTATGTCCATGATTCCTTAAAACATTTTGAGGAAACCAAGAGCCCAGTACAGCTCAAGAACATTATTGTAAAAGACGACAATGAATGTATTTTCAATCAACAATCTGCCGTACATAAAGCAGGCTTGTCAGATGTATCATTTTGTTACACCGAGCAGCCAAAGCTTGAAAGTGCAGGTGAATCAAGTGCTGCAAAGTCAGTTACTGTGTCGAATGTAAAAGGTTTGCACCCAAACCAAAAAGTCAATGTCAGTGGTTCCCTCACTATGGGAAAAGAAGACCTCAAGGCTGTTGTTCTCAGATCCACTGGAGCAACAGCCCATGTGAAGGAAGATTGCGTGTTGGAGGACAACACTGGGTCATCAATGATTCACATTTGGGAACCCCTTGTCCATACCTTGACAACGGGTAAATCATACTGCTTCACCAACCTGACAGTAAAGAATTTCCAAGGGTCGACGTATCTAAGTACATCGCCAAACACAACAGCAAACCTTACAACACAAACAGTGCAAACCCTGACTGGACCAGATATGCTCAAAAGTCCAGAAAAGGAAGTAACTGCTTCAGAATTCAATTTGGTGTCAAAGCTAAACATCTTTTGTTCCTGCAAAGTGTGCAAAAAACGCTTAAATGATGTTGAATCATTCACTTGCACCACACTGAAGTGTGAAAACTGTGGTACACGTCAAAGATCAAGAGATATCAAACTGCAGGCTTCAGCAAAAATTTCTATCACTGAATCAGAAGGTGACAACAGCAAAGAGATGTGGATCCAGGCTTTCACTGAGCAACTAGAAACCCTGCTGGCAGGATCAACCTTATCCCTAAAGGATAAAATCGATGACATTGAAGTTTATCTTATGTCTCTGGAAGACATTTGTTTGGTATACAATGTCCAAACAACAAACATTACAAAGATTCTCTCCTTTAAACGTCCAGAAGTACACTCTGATTAGCACATTGTCTGTGAACAGTCCAATACCCTTGTGTGATTGTCTCGGAGGACGTTGGAAAGTTAAAATTGTTGTTTAATACTGATGTAACATGTGTAGTCTCGGACTGGCCCATGCACCAAAGCTAAAAGATGTGCATCTGCTTTCCCAGGTGTTTGACTTTGAGGAACGTTATAGCAGTGAATGAAAAATATTTTGTTACAGTTTAGATTCATGTGTTAGAGATTTCGCTGTATACATCCCTTAATTAAGGATAAAATTAATGACGTTGAAGTTTATCTTATATTGTCTCGAAGAAAATATTTGTTTGGTCAACAATGTCCAAACAATGAACAATACAAAGTTCTTTCCTTTAAACGTCCAGAAGTAAACTCTGATTAGTTCATTCTGTGTGAACAGTCCAATAACATTGTGTGACTGTCTCGAACGATGTTGGAAAATTAAAATTATTGTTTAATACTGATGTAGCATGTGTTATCTCAGACTGGCCCATGCATCCCAAACTTAATAGTTGTGCTATCCCAGTTGAATGACTGTGAAGAAAAAATTTATTTAGTGATTCAGAAATATTTTGTTACAGTTCATATACAATTAAGAGTTGTTATTGTGGGTTCATTTTTGTTCTGTATTACCTTATATTATTCAGTTTTACACATAATTTTTAGAAAGGGAAGAAAACACACTTGGCTATCATTGCAGCACAAACTTTTGTATTGCAATAATGTAAAATCAAGAAACTTATTTTCGTTTTCACCATATTCACCTCAAAATTTAAAACATTTCACGTTGGTTGGAATACTTCACTACTAAAATTTACACCCACAAAACATGACTCCATTTTTTAACATTACCAATGAGTATTTCTTTTCATTGGTTGCTCGTTGGCACTTAGCGATAGCTATATCTAGTTGATAACCAAAGGAAAAAGATACCAAAAGTAACTTTCATGAATCGAGATATTTGATTGGCTTATCTTGTAGGATTTCTACAGCACCCTGTGGTGTTTAGCTACGCATTAACTACCAGAGGATAATCGTTCAGTATTGTCTTGATCCTAAGCGCTCTTCGGGTATCCTCGTTGTTGATATTTCAGATGATCAGCAGGATCCTTGAAAGAAATGGATCAGTGGATACAAAGTCACTCCTTTAATGTGCAACAGTCTCTGACCAAAGTCTTTGAAACACTTCCAACCCTTCCCCTTTCTGCCCATTGTAATGTGGCTTAACGTAATCTAAGTGAGATTCTATGTTGATTTACCACACCAAGGTTGCAAGGTGCAAGGGGGAGGTTAGCCCTATCTTGAGAACTATGTTTCAAAACTTCTTCACAGATTGTTGCTTTTCTATCTCTGGATGCTTAAGGGCCTATTTACACGGTACGTTGGAGTTTTTTGCATGTGACAAGCTTACAACAGGCCACCTACACGAATTGTTTTGTGTAAATCAAACCAACAACTTGCAATCACTTAAAACTTTCACATGTGCACAAAAAAATTTCATAGGCTTTTAAAACATTTTCTGAAACGCTGCGACAGTCATAGCCAAATTCGACAGAAATTACTTGATTGTGACAAATTTTTACTGGAAGGGGAGGAAGGCGAAGTTTTCTTACGTCAAGAGGTCGAAAAGACACAGTAAAACACAAAATTGAAGACAACTTTTTAAAATAGCCGTCATTAGGATCATTTTATAACGGATGCCAGACAAAATGCAATGTGAAATTGTACGCGATTTTGGCATGGAGTGAGTAAAATGTCGTACGCACGTGAATGGTCCTAACCTGTCTTTAGCTTGTCGCATGTAATAAAGTCATACCTTATAAATCGGCCCTAAGAACGAAAAATATACATGACTTGGATCAATATTTGTTTCTGGGCTACCGAGCTCGATATCGATTTGTCGTACTCGATTACCATTCCTGCTCGATACCAAGACTTGGGAGAGAGCATGGGACGAGCGAGAGTGACCATGTTTCTGGCAAATTTGTCGAGTTTAGTTCGTGAATTCGGGACTTTTTAGGAGTATGTTTTCGTTCGAGTTCCAAAAAAAAGAAGAAGAGAAACAGAAGAGCAAAGAATGATTTATACTGCTAAGGAGATGAAGGAAATGACACTAAGGTGAGCATTGGCTCTTTACGGAAGGGTGTTCCGAGTTGCTGGTTCATAGTTTCTAGTAACGTTTTGTTCAGTTTCAAACTTAAGCTCAATCCTGGAGTGTATGTTTCTCGGTTATTTTAAATCTCAGTAGTGTAATAAGAAAGTGTCTCCCTCCATTTTACCAACCCCAAGTTTACCCCACAAAAAAGCATCCATGACAACATGCAACAATACACACATTCTATTTTTATTATATAAGCTCAATACACTTTCGTGTTTCTATTTTAATTGGCCGTTTGTAATGAGGAAAAGGAACAGAACTCTAATGAAATATGAAAATCTTTCTGGAGAATATGACAAAAAAAGTCTGAAAAGAAATGTCTGTTCATCCCTTGCAATCAAATATTAAGAAGAATAATATTAACTATACTGAACATATGCATTATCAGAGACCATGGTTGATTGACGACATTTCACGAAATTAAGAAAGTGTGGCGGGCTACTGTAATTGTTAAAAGAAGCTAAATTTTTAAATATAAAATAAACATACAGTTCAAGCTGTGTTTGTTTCACTCATTCTTTTCAGATATTACATAACACAATCACACTGCGATATTATTGATACCAGTGAGAGAAATGTATTTTTGAATCCACATTGATTAAATGTTAGCTAGATGAAGACAGATTTGCCAATTTTGTGAAAAGTGAGTAATTTTCAGGAATTGGTTTGATAGTTGGGAGCAAAGAGGTTTCCATTATTAACAGTCATAAAATGTTCAATCCAGTTGTTAATGTGTTAATAGATCCACCAAAAAGCCATTAAACAACTGCAACAGTTCACTTTTAACAAAATAATCAATGCTTGTTGATCTAACCCTGGTTTTTAAACGGCCTGACGTAGCTCTCCTTATAGACTGCAAAAGCCATATCTTTAATTGGCATTCATGACAAAAAAACACAAGCAAGACATTTTGGGCTGTACAATTGGACATTATAAAAATGCTAGTTCACTTTTTTTTAACTGAATTGAACATTTTATGACCTGTTCATGAAATTAAAACAAGTTGAGGGGGTGAATAATAAATTAACTAATATAAAGTCTGCCATTTTCGTCGTTCTCAATTCCAGGTGCTGTCACAATCCTTCAAAAAAAAAAATCAAAGCATTTACAAATCATAACATTGTTCTGCTAATTGTAATTGTAAATCTCTTGTCAGCATGTTTGATTTCAAGAACAAAAGCCAACTGTTACAAGCCTATGTACATAATCCATTTTTTATATTCTTGTTTTTTTTTTCTTGATTGAAAGCTTTTCACTGTTGCACGCATTACATAAAGAGTTTAAATTTGTGTTAAATGCTGCAGCATTTTCCTGTATCACACTTTTACACTCTGCGTACTCATAATCTTACCAAGTTTCACTTATGTTGAAGGGTCCTTTTTTGCCTTCTTTCTTTTGGCTGTTGTCCTCCTGTCCCTCCTTCTTTTCTTTGTTCCTTGTTCTTTTTCTTTAATTTCTCTCTCTCCTTTCATTTCCTCATGTTCTTTTTCTACTACTCCAGCTGGTATTCCGCCATTTCCTCCTTTATCTCCATTTTCCATTGTTTCTTATTCATTACTTACTCCTTTTTCCTCTTCCTTTTCTTTTTCCTGCTTTTCTTCTTGATCTCCTTCCTTAGTCCCTTCCTCTTTCTCTGCATCTCCCACAGCTTGGCTTTCATCTATGGTCATACAGAAAATGTTTAGTTACTTGGTTATATGTGTTTCTTTTTCACAATTTTTATGTTTAGCTGAAACCCTGAGTTTGTTATTATTCAAACAAAATAATATTTTGTGGGCCACTGTCATATCATGAACTATGTATTACCAGGGGGTGGTAATCTTTCTACAAGCATTTTCATTGGTGGACTAAGAATGCTATTTCTTTTACAGGTTAATAAAAATCAAGGTTTTCTTACCTACTACAGTTGCAGAAAGGTTGTTGTTTTTGGTGGGAAAATTCCTAAGGAAGGACACCAGCAAGTAAAACAAGGGAAGGGAAGTGTGCTGCTCAAAGGAGGCCTGCATAACCATCATAATTAAAATACACATTGTTCCTTTGAGCATCACGCCATCCTTCATTGATTAAATTTACGAATTTTAAAACACTTCATACACTTTAAACACTAAAACTGACTGCTACTATCCATTGAATTGCTTAAAGAATAGAAAAAGTGTCATTGTTTGTGTCAATGCTTGTAAAGAGGGAGGCATGTCTGTCTACCCTAAGTGTCAATGCTCACAAAGACCCTTGTCCCAAGGAGCTTTTCAATCTACCCCAAGTGTCGTGGCTAACAAAGAGCCTCATCCTAAGGAGCTTTTCTGTCTACCCCAAGTGTTGTGGATAACAAAGTGCCTCGTCTCAGTGAGCTTTTCTGTCTACCCCAAGTGTTGAGGCTAACAAAGAGCCTCGTCCCAAGGAGCTTTTCTGTCTACCCCAAGTGTTGAGGCTAACAAAGAGCCTTGTCCCAAGGAGCTTTTCTGTCCACCCTAGGTGTCGAGGCTGACAAAGAGCCTCGTCCCAAGGAGCTTTTCTGCCTACCCCAAGTGTTCCAGCTAACAAAGAGCCTCGTCTCAAGGAGCTTTTCTGTCTACCCCAAGTGTCATGGCTAACAAAGAGCCTTGTCCCAAGGAGCTTTCTATCTACCCTAAGTGTCGTGGCTAACAAAGAGCCTCGTCCCAAGGAGCTTTTCTGTCTACCCCAAGTGTTGCAGTTAACAAAGAGCCTCGTCCCAAGGAGCTTTCTGTCTACCCCAAGTGTCGTGGCTAACAAAGAGCCTCGTCCCAAGGAGCTTTTCTGTCTACCTCAAGTGTCGCGGCTAACAAAGAGCCTCGTCCCTAGGAGCTTTTCTGTCTACCCCAAGTGTCGAGGCTAATAGAGCCTCGTCCCAAGGAGCCTTTCTGTCTACCCCAAGTGTCGTGGCTAACAAAGAGCCTCGTCCCAAGGAGCTTTTCTGTCTACCCCAAGTGTCGCAGCTAACAAAGAGCCTCGTCCCTAGGAGCTTTTCTGTCTACCCCAAGTGTCGAGGCTAATAGAGCCTCGTCCCAAGGAGCCTTTCTGTCTACCCCAAGTGTCAATACTCATGAAGAGCCTTGTCCTGAGGAGCTTTTCTGTCTACCCCAAGTGTCAATGCTCACAAAGAGGCTCGTCCCAAGGGGCACTTCTGTCTGCCCCAAGTGTGGATGCTTAGGAAGAGCCTCCTCCCTAGGGAGGTGGTTGACCCTTTTCCCCCCAAGGGTTGTGTCTGTCCACTTCAACTGTTAATGTTCACAAGAAGACTGGGAATAAGTGGATTTGTCTTCCCCCCCCCCCAAGTATTGGTGAGGGGAATTTATAATGTTATTCGCATAGTCAGGGAACAAGGGATGTCAATCTATCCCTATTGCATTAAGTAACATGTCCTCACAATTGTATACACTTTACATGTTCCCAAATGGTGTTCCTCAATAATTAAAATGAAAACAAGACCATTACTTAACTTGAATATTTTATGGTTGTGAGACTCATTGTTAGTAGAATTGCTCCTCTAAACTTACATGTTCCCAAATAATACTCCTCAATAATTTATATTAAAGCATGACCAAACTTATCGAAGTGTAAAACATGAACCTTTTTTTAAGCTAACATGTCATTATATTTAAACATTACACGAATACATGACGCATACCAATGAGGGACCTGTTAGCATGTCTATCCTCCAAGTGTTGTATAAAGGGTAGCATGACCTCGTATATTAATTCACAACCTATTTCTTACTTTTTTTGCTAGGACTTAAATCACGCAATGTGCTGGTGGGTAAGATTATAGACTTTTCGCAGGCGTGCATGCCATAATCAGCAAGGTAATGTGTAATTCAGTACAAGTCACTTTTTAAGTTTATAGTTGACAAGCTGACATCATTCCGCTTTTGCTTCAAAATCCCCAAAAACCTGGAGCCAGGATGTGCAGAAAATGGTGTATGCACCATAGTTTGTATACAATGCGATAGGTTAGCATTCCTTCCAGTGGGAGTAAAAGTACTCCGGGTTGTGTAACTGCCAGGCTGATGGGCCAAAAGAATCAAACGCAAAGTAAAGCTTACCCCATTTTCATTTACCACAACGGTAAAGGAGGATGTTCAGCTATAAATTATTCTCATGTTTACCTAAAAATTTTTTGCCGCAGTAAGTTCATTCTGGTCACGGAAAAAGACGTGCATTAACAAATCCGTACGTCTCTTTTTCAGTTCAACCGGGGAAGAAGAGCAGCCAGAGACGCGTGGGTATTTGGTATAGTCACTACCGAGTTTAGTCCAGCACGGGGTTACTTCCAAGTTGTAGAGAGACGGGATATCGCGACACTTGATCCCATAATCTCGAAGTGTATCCGACCAGGAACAGAAGTCTACACCGATGACTGGGCTTCATACAGAGGCATGGAACACCATATAAATAACGTCGCCGTACACCGAATCGTCGTGCATGCTCGACACTTTGTTGATCCTGTTACTGGTGTCCACACACAGGAGGTAGAGTCCTGCTGGAATAATCTTAAGTTAGGGCAAAAAATACGAAGAGGTATGAAAAAAGAAGATCTTCAATCATACCTCGACGAACAGATGTGGTGTCAATGGAGAGGGGGGCCTTAAAGGCAAATTATGCAAAATTTTCTGGCAATGTTGCCCTCTCTGTATGCAGTTACCAACGCAGCACTTTAATTTGTTCGTTTTAAGGCCACGGGAATCACTTGGCCTTGAATAAATTCGCAAGGTAACATTTTTCGGATCAATACCAGTATCTGGACAACTGCCCACCTACCCCTCCCCTAACTCAACAACAGTCAATTGATAACAACTCAGGGTTAATGTTGGGTTAAGGGAGGGGTAGGTGGGCAGTTGCCCAGGTACTGATATTGATCCCGTTTTTCTTTTGCTACATCTTTTAAAACTTTTATATCTTGGCTACTTTCGATGCGACTGAGCTCAAATTTTAAAGACATCGCAGGCTGGTGGAAGTTTATGGATATCGTGTTTAGACAGATGATTTTATATGAAAACGATCAGCAAAACAGAAGCGGATTTTTTTAATTCAAAGTTTGCCATAAGTTATGATCGCTAAAATTTGCAAAATTTGACATCGGTCAGTGGTATAAAGCCTTGTAACTTTCCAAAAGTACTCTTTTAGAATTACGTTTCTTTCACTATCGACACACTAGCCTTTCAGCCTCCCTAGATTTTCGCCTTAGGATTTCATGTACAATTTGAGTGTAGGTGGACCAAAAATAATGTAGGCGACATATTATGACTTGTTTTTAATTCGAACGAGATTCCTTATGTCAGATTTGATTTTATTACGTTTTCGCATCTTTCCTGTGACCAATGGGAAAGAAAAATGTCAAATCATATTACAAAAGACTGTGTTTGTTCATTTACGTTTTTAAGTCTTCGCAAACTAATAAATTTGATTTTCATTGTCACTCAAAAAGCAATTTTCGCACAACTCAATCATGATATCCAGTGACCCAGCAGTAACTGTTAAATGTTTTACTTACGACTATTCCGTGTTTAATAAAATCCAAAAAAGCAAACGTAGCCCCCATGTACGTTTACAGAAGGTCATATCCAAAGCGCTACTCCTCGATAGACGGCCATAGGAGGAACTCCAAAAACGAGCTGCATATGAATCAAAGATACCGCGAAATTCCAAAAGAATCGGCCTCCCCGAAAATAACTGTTCCCCGAAAGTAACGGCCCTTAAATTAAAGTAAATCTTTCTCTAGAGACACTGTGGTGCTGCGTCGGTGGGAGAGTATAGCAGGTAATTTAGTGTTAACAACTGAGTTGAAAACGTAAATTAGCCATCGTAAAGGATAAAAAAGCTGACGTTTCGAGCGTTAGCCCTCCGTTCCTCTCTCTGACGAAGGGCTAACGCTCGAAACGTTATCTTTTTTACCCTTTACGGTGATCAATTTACGTTTTCAACTCAGTTGTTAATGCAAAATTACCAGAATAAATTGAGCTCGGTGATTCAGGACAGAACACCCGCCATAGCCCTAGGTGCCCGTTTTACTGAAAACACTGTTCAGTAAAAAAAAAAAAAAAAAAAAGAGGTTAGCTCTTGTCTGTGTTAAAGTGTGAACAATATTAACCTTCAGGGACCGATTCGTATGTCAAACTCCCTGTAAAAGGTTAAGGTATTTTAACAGGTTTTTTTAAGTAAATTTTTTTCTTAACGGAGTTTACAGCGTTTCATTTTAAGATAGCTCAAAACAGATTGCCCTTTTTCGAGAAAAGTTCTTCAAATTATTTCTAAAAACAGTTTGGCTCTTCGTACTAGTATAAAATTCAGCACAGAAATAAAAGAAACACCATAACATCATTTTTCTTCAGATAATTTACAATACAATGCATGTGCACTACATTAAACCTTATTCAAACATGGTGAGGTTTAAAGCTGCAAGCTTGTGGGACCGTGTAGAAAATAAAGTAAAAAAAAAAGAAAAAATTGTCACCATGGGTGACACTGACAAGGAAACTTTATTATGACAGACCGTGATCGAAAATCCTTTAGTCCGTAAAAATGTCTCATCAAAAGACCGAAGTGGTTTCCAAGTCTAACGAATTAACTTTTCTGAGGACAGTGGATTTGGAATGCTGTATTTGGTGAGTTGAATATCATTGCTGGCTGTCATATTTTGCCGTCGTTTTTGTTACCGCTCATTTCTAGTACTACTATACTGACATATTCCTTTTCAGTTATAGCATCGTGTCAAGGCCCGTTACCCTTGCCTGTGGGCACTCTGGCTGCAAAAATTGCATGGAAACTTGGGCAGAATCGACAGCCACACTGTTATGTCCCCAGTGTCGGGCAACGTTCCGAAAAGAAAAGCTAAGGATAAATGTGGCAATGGACAAGGCGACCCGAGATTTTCCTGTTAAATGTAACAGCAAAGGCTGCCGGTGGAAAGGCAACTATAGCGATGCCAACGATCACCTCAGACATTGCCCAAAAGTACGAGAGAGGTGCCCCAACGAAGGATGCCAGCACGTGGCGGCGCGGGAAGAAATGACAGCACACGCTTGCCCAAAAGAAAGGATCGCATGTTCAGGATGCCAACTGAGCGTAACCAGGGAAAAACTACAATTCCACCGTACATCTTTATGCAGAAACTCTGCAGTTCTATGCCCCTTGAGATGTGGAGCATCATTACCACGGTATGTTGTATTGATTAGGATAATTCAGCATTGTAATATTTTGGTGTTAGGCGATTGTTATAAGTGAAGTATTTTTCGGTAATTTTTAGCATGAATTGCAGTATTGCTATATTCTCTTATCATTTCAATCGTCAATAGCAGGTGACAAACTTATCCTTCGTGTTATCCAAATCGAAGACTACGAGCAGTCCTAACTTGTGACTGGTGTCACGCGATACGGGACGTTGTGATTCAGCTGCATTCCTTAAAAATAACTGACAGAGAGGAATTAAATTTCATGATCAAGAAACGATTTGAGAAACAGAAATAATGTTTATTTTTCAGTGGGGATCTAAGAGAGGGGCCTAGTGATACTTCCAATTACTTTAAGTCCCCGCTATTCCCCCCGACCACCCCTCTCCCCAAAGCCCGAAAGTTTATATCAAGGTCAAGGTCAATTAATCTACGGAGCCACTTGGCGTGACCCTTGAGGTGTCATGTTTTTCCCACTTTTTTTTTATCAAACCACTGTTGGAATATATGATACCAGTCAAAATGGAAGATCTAGAACTAACACATACCTCTTTTTGAATTGTAGTAGGAACATCAACCTACATCTACACAAATGCCCAGAGAATGCTTCAATATGCCAAGTAGCTGGCTACAAAAGAATTGTGAAAAAGAAGGACATAAATGTCCATTTCAAGGAAGCAAGCACCTCGCATTTTGCCCTCCAATCAGGAGGAATCAAACGACTGCGAGGAATAATATACTACAAGGTAAGCTGCCTATTCACCAACCTAAAAATCAATAAACATGCACTCTTTTAAATGCCAAAACCAGTGAAGTATGTGGAAAAAAGGATGGCAACTGTTGCATTTACCTTCAGAATCTTACATTGAAAATCTTTTTCTGGTGCATTTCATAATATCCATAAAAATCCATTTCTGTTTTAGAAATACAACATAGAACCCATAGAGCCCAAAGTGGAAAGGGTTGTCTCCTTTTGCTGGAGAATTCCAATTCCAGACAAGCCCCTTAAAAGTGGGCCATTTATAGATGACAACTGCAGATGGAGAGGACTGTACTCCGGACAACAAAAATTGTTCCTGCAGCTTCTCTCAGCATCCCATCTAGTTACTAGGGAAATTCAGTAAGAACTTTAATTATTTCATGCACAGTGTTTGTGAGTGCACTTAAAGGAAAATGCTACCTTTGCCTTCTTTCATGTCCCAAGAGTGACCAACACTATTCTCATCACAAATCGAATTATACTAAACCAGGAGAAAAGGTTATGAGAATTTGTTAATAAATTGCTAAAGGGAAATTGATATTATGTTTGAAAAAAATCACCTAACAAAGGGGGCTTTAGAAGAAACTAGACCCTGTGAGCAGGGTACCTGGTGATACTACGGGTGTAGGACTAGTATACTGAAATAGTGCGCTCAAGTCTGGCCAAGGGCATAGACCTATTTCAAAACATAGGCATGCTATGCATGCAAGAGTTACTTTTTTGTAGGGTGGGTGGATTACTTGAAACATTGTGAGTGATGTCTACATTCTTACAAAAGGAGAGAAGAATATTAATGTGGGAAAGAACGAAAATGTCGAATTACCTCTCTCACAAGTATTTTGTGGTAGATTATGTGTGTTTTTCGAATAAATGTAACCAAATATAAACTGTATTGGTGCCACGGATACCTGTTAGTACAAAATGCAGACAGCAGACTGCAGAGTGGGTACAAAATGCAGACTAAGACTCTGAAGAGTTTTTACGTCTGGTATATAATAACATGTCATCTTACAGCTTACCGAGCGTCACGCAATCGCTTTTCTGCGATCCGCCTTCACGATTATTTGCACTATTGTGGAATATTCTTGGCCCATTTCTTGATGAAAATCGATCGCAATATTATTTCAAGCCTTCAATATAGTCTTCTTACTTTGCGCGCGAGTTGGTTGGTGTGATGTCTCAGGGGTGGATCCAGGGTAGTTTACCTGATTTCCGGAACTCACTCAAATTTTTTCCGACCTAGTTAAATGTTGATAAAAGTACTTTTGGAAAACACTCTAATTTCCCTTTGGAAACTACTGATACTTTTGTGGAAATCACTAAACGTCTTCCAGAAATAAACCATCTTCCTGTTTTACAGTTATTTATTAAAGAAAATACGTTTAGAATGACTAATTTCGTTATAATTGCGGTCATGAGGCGTTCGGGAGCGCTCCGGATCACGCGCTGGCCTTTCGAGCTTCGATTACACCTCGGAAACCGTCGGAAGCCGTCGGAAAATGTTCGTGGAGCCAATCTTTACGCAACCGGTGGGTGTAAGTCCTTGTTATTTGGTGACAATAACAGGCGGAACACAGTCAAAACCCCTCACGATTGGCTAGCAAAGATTTCGTCATCGGAACTCACTCAAAACACTCTTCTGATTGGCTAGTTGTGTTTGGAAACTACTGACAAAGTATAAAAAGGGCAGTTCCTCCCCCAGCGGGTCTCTTTCGTTGCTCCTACAATACAAGTACTTTTGAACTTGCTCAGGGGTTAACGACGGAATAACAATTTACTCTTAAACGTTTAAAAAATACTAGTGTTATGACTCGCGGAGATACTGTTTGTCGGAGGGAGGATTGTTCTCCCTTCGACATTGGCCTAGTTTTCGACGAGATCCACAACTACTCGCCGCATCAGAAGCTGGAGTTCGTCGAAAACGTGTGGAAACCAGGTGAGCTTTTTGATTTCCCCGTGTCAATGGAAAATGGAAAATCTCGTAAGTTTGTCTCGGGCTGGCTGAAAAGATTTCCATGGCTAGCTTACTCCAAATATTTCGATGGAGCATTTTGTTTAGCTTGTGTTTGTTTTGGAGTTCAGTGTGGGCGAAACGCTAATAAGTTACACAAATTATTGAAGTCTCCTCTCACAAATTGGACTTCGGCCGCTTCTCGCTTAACCAAACACTCGCTAGGAAATTGTGAAATTCACAATTTTTCTATGACTGCTATGAATGATTTCAAGAGAATGATGCAAAGAGGAGCTGTCCCAATTGACCAGCAGTTAAATAACATAGTTCAACAGCAAATCGCGAGAAATCGGGAGATTCTAAAGTCCCTTTTCAAAACTATTATTTTCTGTGGGAAAAACAACATCCCATTCAGGGGGCGGAGAGATGATGATCCCACTAATGCTGCCCTAACCGGTAATTTCCAGGCATTGCTAGAATTCCGGGTAGACAGTGGTGACCAAACACTGCAGCAACACCTGGACACTGCACCCAGAAATGCCACATACATTTCAAAGACCATTCAGAATGAAATGATAGAAACTGTTGGTGCTCACATTTTGAATGATCTATCACAGGAAATAAGAAATAGTAAGTATTTTTCAGTTATGGCAGATGAAGCTGCTGACATTTCAAATAAGGAGAATGTTTCTGTAGTAATAAGATTTCTGGATACAACTAAAACCATCCGAGAAGAATTTATTGGGTATTACATTTGTGAGGAGGGATTAACAGGGGAGGCTATCAAGGACATTATAACTGCAGCTGTAGCAAACTTAGGATTGACAATGGAAGACTGTCGTGGGCAGTGTTATGATGGTGCAGGCAATATGGCTGGAAGACTAAATGGAGCCTCCTCATTGATCAGTGCAGAACACGAAAAGGCAATCTATGTCCACTGCATGAACCACAGGCTTAATTTGTGCATAGCAGACACTTGCCAATTGCCAATTGTCAGGAACATGATGGATATTGTGCGCAAGATTTCTAATTTTTTTAACAACTCTCCCAAGCGTCAACAACATTTAATAGCCAAGATCAGAGAACTATTGCCTCGGGCAAACCATACTGTTTTAATTGATGTGTGCCGCACACGATGGATTGAACGGATTGATGGAATGGACCGCATAGTTGAACTTCTCTACCCAGTCACAGCTACACTTGAAGACATCTCACTTAACAGAAACAGCCCTGGAGACTCAACCTGGAATCCAACAAGCAGACATGATGCTCAGTCCTTAATTAATGCAATCAACTTTTCCTTTATTGTTTCTCTTGTTATTGTCAGACATATTTTGGGATTAACTAGACCACTCACAGTGAAGCTGCAACAAAAAGCAATGCATCTTCTAAAAGCTAAAGATGAACTTGCTCTTTTGAAATCAGTCCTTGAAGACATGAGCACTGAAATTGATAACAGACATCATAATCTCTACCAGGAAGCAGTGACCATTGCAAGACAAGTAGCAGTCCAGCCAGAAATGCCAAGGATAGCCCAGAGACAAATGCATAGAAATAATGCTCCTGCTGCAACTCCTGAGGGGTATTTCAAGATCAATCTCACTAGAGTTTTTCTTGACCATGTACTCCAGCAGCTCAACACCAGATTCCAGGATGATGTATTTGTTTGCTATAAAGGTATTTCGATTATTCCCTCTGTTTTACTAGCTACTGACCCTGCCTGGAAGGCCAATGTTTTGGAATTTTGTAACCATTACAGACAGGACATACCAAATTATGCAGGATTACAGGCAGAGCTTTTGTTATGGGAGAGATTGTGGAAGGGGAGGGATAACAGAGGAGATATTATTCCTGACAGTTTGGAGGCTACACTGAAGGATATTGACAAAGATGCATATGTCAACATCTATTCCATGCTGAAAGTCCTGATCACAATTCCAATTTCATCTGCATCTTGTGAGAGATCCATATCATCCCTTCGGAATCTTAAGAACTATTTGAGAAATACAATGACCCAGGACAGACTGAATGGATTGGCACTGATGCATGCCCACAGAGACATGGATTTTGACCTTGAACGTATAATAGAACGTATAATAGATTTATTTGCTGAGTTACATCCTAGGAGAATGAGAATAGCAAACATTTTGTAATAATTTTTTGCACCAGCTGTTTCTAGAGTACTTGTGAGTTATGTTCTGTCTGGGTTATGGCCTTTAAGTCTCATAATCCTTAAACTGATGGAGAACAGTACAGAAGCTCAAACTGGTGCCTGTATAACTTTTTTCAACTCATTTCAAGGTTATTTTCTATTTTGTTTTACTTGTGATGATTTTCCATTGACATTGACATTGGGTTTTCATGTTAAGCTTAAATGGTTAACAAACATTTTCACTGAACTCAACCAGCTTCACAGCAATTCCCAAGGATGAAGAAAGGCTAGTGTTATTTCAAATTATCATTTTACTTCAATTTGTATATCATTTTATGATTCTTATAATTTATATTTTTCTAATAATTGTTTTATTTTTTGAATTCCAGCTCCCAACACAGGCTAACCATCCATAAAGCCCTTCTCTCTCTCTCAAATTCTTTTCTGTGTTGTGCTCCTATAAATGAAATGAATAAAAGCCAGCTCAGGAAATGTTGTTTTTAGTGTTGCTAAACATTTGGATTTATTGAGCCTGGCTTTCATTCATTTCATTCATTATAGGAGCACAACACAGAAGAAATTTGAGAGAGAGAAGGGCTTTATGGATGGTAAGCCTGTGGTCCCAAGGATGAAAAAGGCAAGTAGATTTTTATTATCAATCTTTAAACTATATCATCAATTGTGCTTGTTTTTCTTTTGTTATCAAAAACACTAACACTTGGTTCGTTTTTTTTTTTTCTCCACATCTTGATTTTCCTGACTGGGAGGTGATGTTTTCCAGTGTGAAAAGTCTTGGTGATGACTTGGCCTTCCTGAAAACACTATATACACTGGTTTGCACAATAGCTAAAGGTGGAATATTTGTAGATCAGAGTGTTTCCTGTAGTACTTTCAAGAAAAATAAATGTTTTTTGCCTTTTTGATTACATGCTTTTTTTAGTCTTTTTTGGGGCAATTAAATTTTCTAAAAATGCATGAAATGGCCTTTAGAGAGCTCCAAATTTCAAATTTTCTCGGGGGGGCATGCCCCCGAACCCCCCTAGCAGGAGTGGGTCCTCGGGTGGAAACTACTCACTCAAAATCCTGGATCCACCCCTGCTGTCTGTACAGATTTTACCAACGTAATAAAAGTAGATGACGTGAATAACAGTGATGGTAAAGCAAGCTTAAAACGGCAGAAATCGCCAGAAAATACAACAGATACACAGGGTATGAGTAAGTTTTATTGATTTTACGAGAAAAATGTTCATATTTTGAAATATGTATCGTTGTAAATCGACCATACTTCGTTCCCTGTACTATTCCTTATAACGTGCAGTTCCTCTCGTAACTTAACACCGAGTCACACAACGCGTGACGCGTTCATGAATTAATCGTTGGCTTTTTCTCGAGACGTGAGCTTGGGCCGCCTGTGACAAGACAATTGCGTAAACAATATTTAACATAATAACATTTTACACAAAAAAACACAAGGTTTTGGATCACGTATTTATTAAAAAAGAATATCCATACAACTACAATGAAAACAAACATAAGATTCACCTTTCTGATCGTGAAATTAATACCATTCGTACTGTTATCGTAGCTACGTTCCTTGCCATCAAGTGAATCCAACATGTCGTCTTTCTTCACAAGCAGTTTGCATCCATTA